AGGGGACTGTATTTGTTGGTAAAGCGATGCTACATGAAGGATGCTTTTACTCCCCCAAACACACTGAATTCAGTGGTCACACAATGGAGTGTGCAGTTTTAGGGACAGTCAGGGTGAGGGGAAGATACTAGCCTTCCCTGAGATAGCATTTTATTGGAGCAAACATAGATCAGCCTCTGGGCTTAGCTGCAAGTACCATGTATTTCAATGTAATGTTTCTTCACTTTTGTTCAAGTGGCAAGGATCTCCTCACCATCCTGACAGAAGTGAGCAAGGAGGTGGGAAGAAAAGATTTAAATGGATGGAAGCAGATGCCAAAAATAACATCAACCCTACGGAAGCAATTGATCTTCTAAATACCATAATGTCAGTCAATCAAAATGGAATAAAATAAGAATACACTTGGTTAGGAATCACATCTGGAATGGGCTTTCATGAGGAAAAGAATTTGCAAGTGAAACTATCCTCATCTGTGTAATTAGCCTCAGTCCTTCAAGGCGCCATTGGATCTAAATTTGCCAATTCCCATGTTTAATCAGTCTCCTGAGACCTGGATCTGCAGCAGCCTGGGAAGGCCGGGGGGAAGTACAGATCTGACTTTCTGTCCTGCAGAGCAGTGGAGTCTGTTCAGTCTGCACTTCAAATGAGGAAGCACCTGCAAGTATAATGATTTTTTTAAGAGTTATTAGATGCAATGGAAGTCCTATTTCTGTCCAAGTTGTTGTAAGACCCCGAAATCTGAAGAACAGATGGATTCAGAATGCTGACCCCTTTCCAGGGAGCATGTGCAAGATTGTAATTGATTTAGCCACAGGTGAATCACTGGCTGTCTCTGGAAGCTGTGTACTTTTTCCCAGAACATAACATGCTTGTCCAGAAGGACTGAAAAAAAGAAAAAAAAAAATTTTTTATGATAATACAAATTCGGTTCTTTTCCTCCAAATATTTGGTTTCCCTTGTTTTTAATTTACTTGAATAAACAGCATTGCTGTTTAGGTTTTTTAATAGTAAGGGTTCTTGACTTGTTTTTTCTCAGAGCTCTGAGGGGACAGTCTGTTTTGGACAGCTGTTAACCACTGGAAGGAAGGTCCCACTCCATTACAGAATTACAGAATCACAGAATAGTCTGGGTTGGAAGGGACCTTCAAAGGTTATCTAAACCAATGAGCAAGGACATCTTCAACTAGATCAGGTTGCCCACATCCAGCCTGGTCTTGAACATCTCCAGGGACTGTGCATCCACCACCTCTCTGGGCAACCTGTGCCAGGGTTTCACCACCCTAATTGTAAGGAATTTCTTCCTTGCATCCAGCCTGAATCTCCCCTCTCTTAGTTCAAACCATCACTCCTCGTCCTATTGCAACAGTCCCTGCTAAAACGTCTCTCCCCGTCTTTCCTTATAGGCTCCTTTTAAGTACTGAAGGGCCGTGATAAGATCTCCCTGGAATCATCTCTTCTCCAAGCTAAACAACCCCAACTCTCTCAGCCTTTCCTCATAGGAGAGTTGCTCCAGCCCTCTGATCGTTTTTGTGGCTCTTCTCTGGACCCTCTTCAATAGGTCTGTATTTTTCCTGTACTGAGGACTTCAGAGCTGGATGCAGTACTCCAGGTGGGGTCTCACCAGATCAGAGGGGCAGAATTAGATCCACTGCTCTTGAGATGCCTTCTCCCTCTGGCAACTGACTCCTGTGGACTCTTGTTTCTGTAATAATAAATACGCCTGGTTTTCACATCGCTTTTGTTTGTGGTGTGTTTCTTTTTTGGATGAGCTGACTGAGAGACAGTCAGCATGACAAACACTTCTACTTCAGCAGAAGTATTTATTTTGCTCATGTTGAAGTATTTGATGGCAGGCATCCGAAGGGGTAGTATATTGGTATCCCTTCATTAGCAGCTGGAGAGGTGGTCAGAAAGGGTAAGTTTAAGTTCAGGACCTTCTGATAATGGCAGCTGATGCTGGTGAGGCTATTCTTGCAGGTGGTCCATAGAGGAGCTGCATGGGATTCTAATGGCTGTATTCCTTTTGAGTTTATAACATGATAAAGGATGATTGGAGACACTTTGTAACTTCTGGCTTTTTTTTTTTTTAGTTTGTATTTTTTTAAAATCCAAGTCTACCCATAAAGCAGGAGTTCCTAGTTCAACCCTGTTGTGTTCTTGAAGTGAAACTTTTTTTTCCTAATTCCACACAATGTGCTGGCAGTTGCATTTTGCTCCCCTTGCCCTTTCTCATCTTCCAAGTAAAAGGTACAATGCCCATTCTTAGAATCACAGATCTGTTCACACAGGTTTCATCAATAATAGATGGACGTATGTAAAGGAGAGTGCTGTTTGTGGCAAAAGTTACCAGAAGTTGTTGCCAGGTATGATACAGTTCTGTGGCTGACATTTGGTTAACCATTTAGCAAATGTGGCAACAATTTATTTACATTTTTATCATGTTTTCATAAGTGAGACCTTGATATGAAGTTAGCAACTAGATTTGGGGCATGTTGCTTGATGATAAAGAAATACAGCTTAAATGAAGTAACTGCTTCCTCTAAGAGAAACTTGCTGGAAGGTGGCAGCTGCTCCAGTAGTGAAGTTGCGAATCTACAGCATTTCTGGTTTTTCCTATTTCTCTGTTTCAGAGTTCAATACTCTCAAACCAAGTTCTTTCACATATTCCACCTGAGGGAGGAAGTGGAGGTCACATTTACTTATTTGGTATATTTGGTGCTACATGGGAATTTGATTTAGTAGAGTGATCCAGAAACACTGAAATCACATCACAAGCATAATTTAGCAATTGTAATACACAGTTGAATCACAGTACAAATGTGATTCTCATTACCCATCTCTATCTGCTTATCATGATTGCATGGGATTTTGTTTTACCTGTTAAAATCAGGCCACTTCCATAGCTAACATTATTGCCTGCTGATGAAGACCTACTAGAAGGGAGATAAAACCCTGTCAAAATCCTCTAAAGGACTGCAGGAAGTAACTGTACTGTGAATTTATATGTGGTTCATGCAGTGGTCAAGGAAGGAGAAAACACTCTCAGTTTTATGGTTTGGAGCAAAAGTATGCTCACACACCCCCGTGGCTGGTACGTTCTTGCATGGATCTGCGGCCCTTCCACAGAACTGAGAGGTAAGAAGGACGTTGGATCTGCAATCTTCTGACTTTTTCCTCTGTAGCACAACTTGGAGGAGGGTGATGGGCAATTGCCTTTCCTCTCTGAAGGCCCTCAGCTACAGTTACTTTGCCCTTCTTCCCTTTTCTTCAAGTCCTGTGTGGGAGACCAGATGCCGTAGCAAAATAATCCTGGTGCTTAATTCTGTGGTTTGTTTTCAGCCAGCAGAAGCACTACCACCAGAAAGTAGAGTCAGAAAGCTGGTAGAAAAGTGAAGTTGGTGAGTTGAAGCCCTGCAGGCTTAAGCTGAAAGCAGGCAAAATCGGAGTGATGCTGTTTGAAAAGGGAAATGCTTAGAAGAGTGTTCAGGAGGACTGCTAGGTGCAGAAGCAGAAATAATGTTACTTGGTGGCAGGAATCTCTGCCCAGTCATTTGCATCTTGCTACCTACTTGTTCAGTTTAACATCAGTTTCCCAGAGAGCTGTTTGTGCCCACTTCCCATGGGAAGTTGGTAATTCTCTCCATTGGCAATGATTTTAGGGCGAGTTGTTAATGTGCTGTTCTTGGGATGGATTAGTGGTACATGTGTGGAGATTGCCTGTATTCAGATTACTGCTGGCCTCTCTTGTCACACAGGCTGCTGGAAGTACATGTTTTCACACCATCTATGTAAAGGTTCACTCTTAGTTCTCAAAGTGCTGTGACATTCGGGCACTGCAGAATTTTGGTTACTTGAACTGCTGGCTGTGTCTCTGATCTGTCAGATCTCCTGCAGGAAATCTTGAAGCTCAGGGAGAAGTGGAAACAAAATACACACCATTTAGGAGATTAAGCTGTGCTAGCTGTTGGGTGTTCAGCTCTTGATGGTTACCCTTTTTATTCTGACCCCTAAATAACGTGGGCACATCCTCTGCAAAGTTATTCAGATCTGCCTCTTTTCACTAGAGATACGTCAAATGATAAACAGAGAATGGCATGTTTAATCTGCAACGACTTCTGGCCAGTGTGCCAAAAAACGCAGTTGAGGTCTTTGGGAATTCCCAGTTACTCATTTTGTGTCCTTTCTGTAATCGTGCCTTTGCTTGTCACTGTATCTGTTCTGGTTTTGACAGGCATAGGAATTCCCCAGGTCCTGAATGCAGTTGACTCTTTTGGGTGCCAACTGTAACACATTTCTAGGTAGGTAGAACATTGTTATGGACGTGTCTTCTGGGCTTGGCTTAGATCTTTTATATTAATTTTATATCTGTGCAACTCCTTTGTGTTTAGGCCTTATTTGTCCAGGTATATCAGTGCAAAGAGAAGGATCTGTACCTCATGCAGCCTATTTACTAGGAAGAACTTGTTTTGACTTGAGTTGAGCACATGTTAGCTCATGTAAAGGCTTTTGCTTAATATATTGTCAAACTGTTTTTCCCTGGTTTGGTTTGGTTCTTTTGGGGTGTAGGGGAGCAGGGGAAAGGGCCTCTGGTTTTAAGTCAGTGCTTAGCGAGAACACTGGTTTTTATTTGGAGAGTATGGATGCTCTGAAGGTTGCTCTCTTGCTCAAGGTGAGCACTAAGGTGTTAATATTCATTTTCAGAGGAATAAAATGCCGACTGGCAAAACCTCTTCCCCCCTCCCTCACGTTGCTGGGAAACATCATCTGTTGAGAGTGCTGCAGCAGGTGGTGTACAGGGGTGGTGCCCCATCCCAGGGGCTCACGGCATCGAGCAGTGCTCCTGTGAGCCTGCTCCTGCTGCTAGAAGAGTAGGGACCTGGTTCCCTGGCTGTTGGGTACAGGGCCCTGTGCAGGCACCGAGCGTGCTGGATCTATCGCCTGCCAGCCGCCCTCAAAGGCTCCCAAGGAGGAAGTTAGGTCAGTGGCGTTACAAGCTTCTCTCCCTATGTATTGAAACGGCAATGAATTGTGCCTTTAGACGAGAGAGAGGCGACTGCAGGACGAGCCTGGGCAGAAGTGAGTCCTTGAGACCCGCGCTACCTGCTTGTTTTCTCGAGATCGGATTCGGGAATACTCAGTGTTTCACAATGTGAACGGCGGGGGAAGGGGGACTAACATGCGACTGACAGACGTCTCCCCTGGCCGGCGCGCAGCTCTGAAGCTCCGCTGCGGGGCGCTGTGCTCTGGTCGGTCGGCGGTAGGACTGCAGAAG